CATCCATGCATCCATCCATGCATCCATGCATCCATCCATCCCATTCCAGAACCACCTCCCAGACGTGCTGATTCTGAAAATATCTTTAGTTTTTCTCTAGGCTGCGGAGTTCTCTAGTTATGCGCGGACACACACATTCGGCTGAACAACTTTATATATATAGATATAAGGTCCAAGGTCATACATGCTACGCGATATAAGCACTGCGATCTGCCGCCAGCCCGCAGTGACCTTGTGCTAGTAGTACCCTCGTCGGTGCCCCTCCCCGCTGTAGCTCCCGTTCTCATACTAACCATCGTTCTTAGAGCGGGAACAGAGGATCCTCCCGTGCGGTAGTGAGTGAACTGTGATCGTCTGCTTACAGAACCTGACCTTACCAGTGCTCGTATAAAGGGATGAAGGTCGAAGGAAAGGTTGCTATGGTGACGGGAGGAGCGCGCGGCATAGGGAAGGCTATCTGTGCCGGATTGCTGGAAGAAGGCGCCAAGGTATAGTGTAATAGATTAACTCCCCGTCTCCCCTATTCTTCGTAAAACTGCTTATATCTGGTGAAGAACCGGGAGGAATGGAAGGAAATGGGGGAGAGACGGGGGAAAGGACGGTAAGGGGTGAGGCGAGGGATTAGGGGAGGGTGGATGAGGGGAGGATAGGGAATGCCACTTTGTCTTTAGAATAGTATATCGTTAAAGATTTAATAGGGATGGGACACTAGGTGCGGGGAAAGAGAGGGGAGGGCGAGCGAGGCGAGGCAATGAGAGGGGAGAGAAGGAGAAGCAGGATGAGGAGGAGAAAGAGCAGGAAGAGGAGGCAAGTGGAGTAGAAGAGTAGGAGGGGAGAGGCGGAGCAGGGGGAGGAAGTGGAGGAGAAGAAGAGGGAGTTGACATTTACCGCCATCACAAACAAGCACCAAGCATGACGGTATAGTGTTTGATTAGTTCTTATATAGTCTTTGTGTCAAATCAAATACCAGCCATGCGGCGGCTTTGGAGTAGTCTATATGACCCTTTAGCGTTTACTATGTATTTACTTTAATGTACTACTAGCTTCTCTTCTGGCTTTTCCTCGTGGTCTTTTAATTCTTTCTGTTTCTATCCTTGTCATCGTATCGTCCCGGTTCCGTTCGTGAAACATATAAGAGCCGCCGGAACTGTGACGCTCGGATTTCTGTAACGGGGTTAAAGATTTTTGTTTGGTTCACCAGATCGTGGATTATAAAGCGCCATAGTTGCTTTGAGATCTGTAACAAGGTTCGCTTATCATTAACCTACTCGCCAACGCTGCGAGGTTGTTGGTCGTACGTACGGCGTACTCGAGTATAGAAATCCATATTCGTATATCCACCCCACAAACGCACACTCTAGCGGTCGGTAGCGATTCATGTGTTTTCACGTGTAGGGCGTCTGCATTGTTGACAATCGGACGGCGGAAGGTACAGGTACGGCGTCAGAGCTGTGCGCGAAACACGGAGAGAACAGAGCGATATACGTCAACACCGACGTTACCGCAGACGACCAGTTCGAAGGTACGAATCGTGCACGCGTGTGTGGGTGTGTATGTGTGCGTGCGTGCATGTGTGCGTGCGTGCATGTGTGTGAATGCGTACGTGCGTAGGGCTGTGCGTGCCCGCGTGTGTATGCGTCCGTTTGTATATATGCGTGCGCGCATGCGTGCGTGCGTGCATGCGTGTGTCTGCGTACGTGCGTAGGCCTGTGCGTGCCCGCGTGTGTATGCGTCCGTTTGTATATGCGTGCGCGCATGCGTGCGTGCGTGCATGCGTGTGTCCACATGCGTGCATGTGTTCGTGTTCATGCGCTCGTCCGCGTTCGCGTGTGCGTGT